ATTTGAAGAATATTCTAATGAGCCATGTAGGTTATGTTATTTAATTGTTTATGAAAATCTTCGTGAAAGTCCAGTTCCAAATACTCCTAAATTTTATGAAGATTTATATAAAGGTAATAATGATTTTTAAATACATATAACTATATTCATTTAATTAATAATCATATTGATGTCATATTGATGATAATAATTCTTAAATTTTTTAGAATGTTGGAAATTTGACAGATGGGAACGTCCTACCATTGAGGATGTTTGGGATCGTTTGGAAGCTTCTCAAGAAGAAGATTCAAATTGATCGAATTGATTTGAATTAATCAAAATTTCCATTATTTTATAATAATTCTGTCCATCTTAAGTATAGAATCATACCTTATAATTTATTTCACACTTGTAAATTATATGAAAACTACCTTATATAAAAAGATACCAGTTTATGATTTTCTTTTATCTGAATATCCTGCCATCTTCAATATTTATTTTTTGGTTTTATTTATATATAATAAATGAAATGAATAAATTTTTATTATCAATAAAAATTTTTGAAAAAAGCTTTTCAAATTTAAATAATTATTTTTAAATGGTTTTTAATTTCCTTCTCTCACTCAAGAATAATATTAGTAGAATAATTATTACTAACTTCACAGAACATCATTTAGTTCACATAATTAGCAACAGTAGAGAAGTCATCATATTAGCATACTATTACATAATAAAATAACAAATTAAGGAAAATTATACAGTTGTAGCCATAATGTTAATAATGAGTTGTTTAATCATTAAATTTTTTGCATAATAATATACAAGGGTTTTAATTGATTGTGGCTTTTAGATTATTTAATTTGTCCAAAGGTATTTTCTTGCGAATGTAACATCAATGGGTCAATGAAGCAATGTTGTCTCATTTTATTTATAATCATACACACAAATGAAAAAGCCCACGGGTTGAGTAAAGCAGGAATTAGTTGAAGGTTACATGTTGTCATTAATCTACTGCATAATTGATTAGAATTGTAACTGTTTAGATGGTTCTATTTGAACAAATTTGACTTAGAAGCAGTAGCTTCAATCAAAATATTTTTTGGATTAAAATATTGTAATTGATAGATGTTAGCCTCCTTTTAACATAATAATAATAATTATTATTAATAAATGAAATGCGAGGGGTCCTGTCCACTTTACCGACAACTACTTTACTGACAGGACACTTTACTAACAAAAATTATTTTAACAATTTGCCAAGGACTGTGTGAAGACCTGGATAACTCTATGTAGAAGCTAAAAGTTTGGTTTTTTACACACAGGTTAAATCAACTGTTGATTGAATACTGACCTTGTCCCACAAATCATTAACTAATAACACAACTTATTATCCTTACTTTGCATCAAAAACCTGTTCATAAAAATACAATATAGATACATGTATAATTTTTTTTTTTTTTTTGTCTGAAGAAATTGATAAAAATTGCATATTCAGACTTCATTAATTGTTTTTATTAAGTTTATTTACATTCAGAATTTATTTTTAATTTTTAAATAAATAAAATAATATTTCCTCTCGCATTTGAATACTTTTAAACATAATTTCTTGAATTTTATGAAAAAAAAAGTAATGATTTGGAATGTTAAACTCACACCCTTATTATATAAAAAACATTGAAAAGACCAAATTGCCAAAATAGTTCGAGTTTTAAGAAACAGTTTGGGCTAGAAACCTTACTTGATTGTTGGTAAAGTGTCTTGTTGGTAAAGTGTCTTGTTGGTAAAGTGTCTTGTCGGTAAAGTGTCTTGTCGGTAAAGTGGTTGTCAGTAAATTGTCCTGTTGGTAAAGCGATCCAGACCCTCACAATATAATTTATATTTCTGGAAAATAAAAATTTATCTACATCTTGTAATCTATTTTTGAATTTAGTTCCTGTTGAAACTACAGTCAAACCTTGTCATAGCAGATGAATGGGATACACATAAGGAGATTTTATTTAAAATCCATTATGACAAGAATTTAATTATAGTCCATTGTGACAAGGTTTGACTATATTGTGAGATCATGTCCTGTTGTTGTCGCCAAAACGTGAAATCATATCCGAGTCTTGAAGATGATAATTTATTTAATACCAATAATGCTAATACAATTTCTTCCAATTTATTTATACTAAATCGTAACAATTTCCACAAATGTATATTTATGCTTTATTCTTGAAACTATATTTCACTATCACTAAACAATTCCTTGCTAAGTAATATTAAACAATATCTTCTTACCCTGATCACGTTTCTTTATGAGTGCCCTTCTTAGCTGTTACTCCCTACTCAAGTCAGATATGTTTCTCAAACTTCACTAATAAAATTTATTAAATATCACCTCTATACATGGGATGGTAATTACCTAATTACTGTAATAGTTATTGTAATTAATTACTACTTTTCCTCTTTAAAACACGTAATTATGAAATTAATTACGAATAACAATAATACAGAATAAATGCTATTCGAAATCAAAGAAACTGAAAATTTTCTATACAACCCGTTGATAATGCTACACTGGTTAACCAATTTCAAGTCTTTGCTCTATGCCAAAGCAAATAAACGGAACCCCAGAGTTCTATATCACTCCGACAACCAAACGGACAATTAAACCCTACTGTTTAATTTCCGACTGAAAAAGTGTTTTTACAAGAGAAACAAGGACTATATTTATGTGTGAAATTATTTCGTCTCGCATAATCAATTTGTAATTATGTATTGCATATTACCACAAAGTAGCAACCTTTTTACAACTGTTTACAATTGTGTAATAAATGATTTTCAATTGTTTTAAAGTAGTGGTACTATCTTTCGAGACTTTACAGTACATATTATAGTTTTGGCAAAACAATTACAATTAATTAGTTAAAATTTATGGATTTTACATCATCCATAATCGATTTCATCTACAATTCTCATAATTAATTCTGTCACGCGTAATTAATTTCGTAATTACGTATTACGTTTTGGCAAAACAATTACCATCTAATGTATAATGTTTTTAGGTGGATAGTATGCATCATCTTAGAGGTCATACCCATTGAATATTCATTCATTTTATATTCATTTAATCAATTAAATTAAATGTCCAGGTAATCATTTGGTGTATTCAGGTATTCATTTGATCATTAAATTAATTACTCAGTGAATGATTTATTCAGTAAATGTTCGTTATTAACAAAAAATTTTAAATTTATTAATCACCAATATTTCTTTCCAAAAAAAAACTCCAATCTTATCAAATAAAAGTGGATTAAGTTTTGTTCTTTTTGAGGTTATTGTATTTCCAGCTTGACTAAAGGTGTACACAAGTATTTAGGAAATCTATTTTTATTATGTTTCACCACAATAATGGATCATCTTTCCATAACCAACTTGACTTCTTAGAACCACCCTTTTCTTCAAAATATGAGCAGCAGAAGCCTCCTCCCTTTTCATTATTACTTTCTCATATTATAGTAGCTGAATGCTCTCCTTCCATTTTAAATGAATGGAAATATAATGTTTAATTTAATTAATTAGAAATGAACAAACATGAGAAAAGTCATTTCAATTCAGTTACGCAAGATATTGATTATTAGTTTATATATTTGGTAACCACATATTCACTGAATATTCTTCGCTGTTGCATCTTGGTTTAAAAAACTTGTTCATTTATACAACACAACCCATTTTCGTGAAACTTTTATAAATAAAATTATCAAATGAGGATTAATTAAATACTTCCCACAATGCTTTGTCTAAAGCAAGGCATACTTTTGATCATCTGACTGATTTTAAAGATTGATAGGTTACTCGACTTTTTATTTGATGTAAATAAAAGGTGATGACAGTTAAAAAATTTTTATTAAAATTTTTCCTTCCGTTTTATTTTTTAAAAAATAAAAAATTCATAAATACTATATCAAAGTGAACTTTTGTATATAAATAAAGTAGCAAAAATGACTGACGAGTTCAAACTCTTGCCTGATGATCAAGAAGCCTGAGAATGGATATATAAGGCTAAATATAATGGTTTCATATTGATTTATGATTACAACAGTGATTTTGAAAATGTAGAGCTGGTTGAAAATTCCACTGACATGATAATAAAAAGGGCTTTTTTAAGGCCATTAGAAAAAGTTGTAACTTTGTCAACATCTAAATTAAATCATCAGTTCTCATTGAGGCATGCACTTTTAGAGGTTGGTTATTGAATATAAATAAAAAATTTTTTTGAATCTTATTTTGTAAATTTTTATTTTATTATTTAAATAAAAATTTATTTATCCAAGGTACAAAAGCTTCGTAGAGTTTCAGCCCATGACAATGTTTTGAGCTATATAGGTTTAACACAAGAGCCTAATGCTGATAATATTGTTACTGTGGTTTTAGATTATGCTGATGATAATTTAAGAGATTATTTGAGTAGCAGTGAATTATCATGGGATGAAAAATTCAAACTTGCCAAATGGAAAAATGGATTGAGATACTGTGAAGGGAATGTTAAAAGTAAACACAAATCAGTTGATGTCGCCATGAAAGAATTAAAAAATGGTTATGATATATCCAATGATTTTTTATCAAAGGTAAATGAATAATAATATAAATAAAATCTAAATTAATGCATTTATCACACATATTAATACTAATACACATTATATTTCGTAAATATCATGTGTATACCTTGCACACATATAATAGATTGAAGCTCATTTTCAATGCTTCTATGAAGATCAAAAGAGTATCACACAGAAATTATTAAGATTATATGGTATTACACAGAATCCAGAAACCAAAAATTATATAATAGTTATGGATTATAAAGAAGCTAATCTACGAAATTCTCTGGATAATAAAATCCAAGAATCCCTGGAATCTCAACAATCCCATTGGACAAGTAGGATCGAAATTCTTTTCAACATATCAACTGGTATGAGAAGAATTCATCGTACAGGATGTATTCATCGCAATCTTCATTGTGGGAATATTTTAGTAAAAATTAAAGCAAATCGAATCCATACATATGTTGCAGGATTTGGATTTTCATCGGATGTTAGAACTAATAGTAATAGGAATGTGTTATCTGGAGTTTTACCATATATTGCACCAGAAGTACTGCACGGACAACCACAATCCAAAGAATCAGATGTTTATAGTTTTGGCGTGATAATGACCGAAATGACTACCGGAAAACCACCATTTTATGATAAATCACATGACGAAAATTTGGCTAAAGAAATTTGCGAGAATGGATTGAGACCGGATATAAATACTAGAATCACTCCACCGAATTACTTCCGATTGGCTAAACAATGTCTTGATGCGAATCCAGGAAAAAGGCCAACTTTTGATGAATTGGACGAGATATTAGGGTTCTGGTATGATTCATTATTTGGTCATGGTCTTTTTCCAAACAGGCGGGAAGAAGCTGTTGCTCTTAAGGTGCATTTTGAACCATTTGGTGATATTCAGATTGAATCAAGTTATACTCTTCATAAAGGTGCTTGTTATACTAGAAGAACATTTGATTTCAGTCAATTTTCTGAACCGAAGAACCGCAAAGATCATTATATTTATCCACAATTATAAAAAAAAATTATCCTCATATCAATATCATTCATTTTATTATTTATTGTTAAGAAACATTTTTTTTTTTTTAAAAATTATATGAAATTAAAAACAATAATAATTGCTTTTATTAAAATTCTGGGAGTATCTTTAACTTGTTCTTCAAGAAGATTTCATAAAACAATCACATAACATAATTTACATATTATTTTCAAAGGGAATTTTCTCAGTTGAAATTTTCCAAAACAGTATGCCAAGACTATAAATATCTGTTTTTTCGATCTATAAACTTTTTTTTTCGGATTCTTTAAATATCGAGATCCAAATATTGTGTCAAGTTGAAATGATGTGAGAAATGCTGTCGACTTGGGCGAATTAATCGCTTAAATGACTCAAAATTATATAACCTAATGCTACCATTAAGGGTATTTATATTTTTAGATGATAAAGAAAAAGGTTAATTATTTCATAAAAATTTTTAAAAAAATAAAGACAATGATAGATACCAGGCTAACAATATTATTAACGTGTAAACAATACAATGCGGATGTTAATTCTTTAGCAAGTTTTAATTTTTGCATCCATGACAAATTATTAGTACCTAGATATTCGTGCAAATTGTCTACGAATAAATACTTTCTTGAGCTGAGTCTATTTTAGTTTTTTTTTTTTTTGAATCGAAATTAAGATGTAAATAAATTACGGTGCAACCTTCGACTAAAAACCGAAAATAATTTATTTAGTAGAAAATAACAAAACAAAAACAAAAACCTCTTTACAAATTCTTTCCTTGTGTATAAATCATTTAATTTTAATTCAATAAAAGAAACCTTTGTATTTTATTTGAATAAACTTTTTTTTAATACAATATCAGGCGAGTGAATGTCTCGTAATTATTATTATTTTCAAATACAAGAAATTCATTTCTTTTAGCTTCATTCAACCATCCAAATGCTTGATTTTCAGTTTCTATTCCAGCAATCATATTTACAGTCCCCGGCGAAAAGGATGGCAGTGGGAATGTCTTCCCTTTTTTTTGAGCATAGCATTGCATTTCCAATTGGGATATTTATTTATTGTACTAAATTGTACAGTGGAATGCTATTACAAAAAAAAGAACCTTAAATATTGTTTTTGTGCTTGTTTTATTTTTTAAAATGCTAAGAGCTCTAAATTTGATAGACAAGCACAATAGGTAGTATTTTCAAATTTCTTGATATCCTACTTAATAATTTGTCTAGATTTTTTTTAAAAGAATTAGCTTGTCTTTCAACTACATTATACTATAACTGTTATATTGCGTTATTGTTGAAGGCATGCTTAATAATAAAATGAATCAAATATATAATTATGAAAGAAAATATTTAATTTTCATTATCTTGACAGTGTTACTACCATTGGGTTTCTCTTAACAATGTAGTTCAAATAGTAGTACCTTTGAGCTTGTACAACTTCTGTATAATGAACAGATTTCGTGTATAGGTATTTTAATTCTGATACGCTTTTATCATTATACCGATGTAATACAAGATGGAAAAATATCGTCATTCAACCAAAATTATCAAGAGGCATCTAATGATGGGTACTGGTTGGGAAAAACATTTTAAAAAAGGGCTGACTTCGCAGATTATTTGCAATACTAACCTTGATTAAGGTTGAATAAAGGTGAATGGAGACATACAAATTATCCGTTGTTTAATAAGATTTATTGTCCTAATTTTTAGCTTTTATTTTAAAAAATAACTTCAATTTTGTTATGTAATTGCATGAGTAAGATTAAAAACTAAACTGCCATTCTTTTCGCCGGCCAAGCCGTTTAAAAATTCCTTAGCCGGCTAACATCACTATATAAGATGCCATTGTGCATGGTTTATTTCTCAGAAACAATATCATAATTTTGTCTCCAACTTAAATTTTTAAATTCATTTGTTAAATAATAGTGGACTTTATCTTTTATATGTTTCATTACAAATATACATTCCTTTGTAATTGGATCTTGTGTTAATCCATAACTTCTTCATAATTTTTGAACTATGGAAAATAACATTTTTTAACTTTCATTGCTAATAATAAAAAAAAAATAATAATAATTTACCTTATTAAGAAATTGTTCAATTATGCAATTTTTTTTAATACCACAATTTAAAGTCTTTACTGAATCTTTCTCCATTTACATAATATATGTTTCCAACCATTTATCCAAGCAGCCTTGTATATAGTTGAAAAATCAGCCTTCATTTATCTTCTCAAATCATTATAAATAATCCATTGAAAATGCTGTTTATTGTCATATTTAAATGAAAATTTTGGAATCACCTAATTGGCACCACCCCAATTAGTATTATACCAAAATTTTCATTTAAATATATTTATCTTCATCATAAATATCGTTTTCATGCTTATTTCCATTTAAAAATTTTCCCATTTTCAATTAACTAAAATTTATTTATTTATTTAAATTTGAAAAGTTTTTTTCAAGAGTTTTATTGATAATAAAAATTTATTCAATTCATTTTATTATAAATAAAACCAAAAAATATATGTTGAAGATGGAGAATATTCAGATAAAAAAAAAAAAAAATCATAAACTGATATTTTTTTATATAAGGTAGATTTCATATAATTTACAAGTGTGAAATAAATTATAAAGTATAATTCTATACTTAAGGTGGGTAGAGCTATTGTAAAATAATGGAAGTTTCGATCAATTCAATCAATTTGAATCTTTAGCTTCTTCTTGAGAAGCTTCCAAAACATTCCCAAACATCCCCAGTTTTAGGACGTGAATCTCTGTTAAATTGCCAACATTCTAAAAAAATTTAAGAATTATTATCATTAATATGATTATTAATTAAATGAATATATTTATATGTATTTAAAAAATTATTACCTTTATATAAATCTTCATAAAATTTAGGAGTATCTGGAACTGAATTTTCACGATGATTTTCATAAACAATTAAATAACATAACTTACATGGCTCATTAGAAAATTCTTCAAATGGTATTTTTTGTGATGAAATCTCCCAAAATAACACACCTAAACTATATATATCAGATATAATTTCATCTCTCATGAATTCTTTTGGGTTCTTTAGATGCTGAGGATCTAAATAGGGTATTTGTTCAAAATATTGAGCCAAAGTTTTTTTAGATTCTTCTATTTTTTTGTACCGTCCAAAATTGTGGAGCCTTATTCTACCATTGATCATACCAATGTTGTCTGACCTCTATTATTTATTATTACACAATATATATAAAATATATTATTATTAATCATCAGAAAAAAATAAATTATATATAAAAATGTTAGATAATTACCAAATTGCCATGATACATATCATATTGATGTAGACAATATAATCCACTTGTTAATTGTTTGGCAAGTTTGAATTTTTCATTCCATGATAAGTCACTGCTACTCAAATAATCTCTTAAATTATAATCAGCATATTCTGAAATCACAGTAACAATATTACTAGCATTAGGCTCTTGTGTTAAACCAACATAGCCCAAAACATTGTCATGAACTGAGGCTTTATGAAGCTTTTGTAACTGTATTAAATAAATTTTTATTTAAATAATAAAATAAAAATTTACAAAATAAGATTCAAAAAATATTTATTTATATTCAATAACCAACCTCTAAAAGTACATGCCTCAATGAGAACTGAGTATTAAATTTAGATTTTGACAAAGTTACGACTTTTTGTAATGGCCTTAAAACAGCCTTTTTTAATATTGAGTCAGCAGAATTTTCAACCAACTCTACACGCTCAAAATCACTGCAATCATAAAACAACATGAAACCATTTGCTTTAGCCTTATATATCCATTCCCTGGCTTCTTGATCGTCGGGCAAAAGTTTAAGGTCGTCCATATTAGCCATTTTTGTTATATATATTTTAAAAATGAAATTTATATATAAAGTGGAAAGTTTTTGATAAAAATGAATTATAATATTTTAGGAAAAAATTTTTTATTTTTTAAAATTTTACAGTATAACCTTAGTATAACCTTGGTACGAAATGGCTGGATATATAGGAAAATTTCATTCCAAAATTCGTTGAAATTACTAATCGCGCGTTTCACGAATTTTTATAGTGTGCGGCAAGATTTTTAAAAAGTATATTAATAAACTGCCAATGTAATCATTAATTATTATTGTTATTATTAACATTATTAATATTAGTGCTATCATTTCTTTTTTCCTTTTATATGGTTTTATATTTCTATTTTTTCCCAATCTTTTATTTATTTACAATCCTATCTTAAAATCAGTCAGATGATCAAAAGTATATTTTAGATAATCTTATTTTAGGTAAAGCATTCATTACAATATTTTCTCAAATTTGTAGTGTAATTTCATGTGTGTAGCATTACCAACATTACATGGTAAGCATATTAATCTTCAAGAATCAAAGAATTTAATGATGTATTTTTTGCTATCCAATTCAATTTACTTGTTTATAGAGATATGCAACTTTGAAATGAGATTTTGAGATTAAACTTTCAACAATTCTATGACTTGTATACTTTGTATCTAGAACTTTTATCATTCATGAATAGCTGGTCTCTTAATAAAATTTAAGATTCAAGTTTAATATCAACTTTATTGAAAAAATAATCATTTTTAAAAAATACAAATTATTTTTTATTATAATTTCCGACTACAAAAGTGTTTTTATAAGAGAAACAAAGAATATATTTTGGCAAACAATTACCATCACATGTATAATTAATTAGTATTAGTATATTATATCAATATCGTATTAGTAGTATTATAATTAGATCAACCAAACGTTATTATTATACTAATATTAATACAGATATTCGGATATCCTATTACTATCCATTCATCAAAACTCTATCCGAATCCAAGCTCTAACGGATATTCACATATTCATGAATATTAATGTTAACACTAATATCCATCGATCAACCGTGGGGTAAAATTGATATCCGGATAGTCGCGAATATTCACGGACATTCACGGATACTATCCGACAGATATAATCACTAGATGAATTTGATGAAAGTTTCGATGAAGAAGAATTAGAGCATTTGGAAATTAGTAGAAGAAAATGTCCTTTGAACTAGATAAATGTTTGTTGTTGTTGTTGGTATTCATAGTAGAAAAAACTATTTTTTGAACTAGGAAATATTTTGCCATCGTTGTCATTCGTCATTATTAGTAGAAGCTACTTTTGAATTTGATGAACGCTTTGTTGTTGGGGTTGGGGTTGTTGTACATCATTATTAGTAGAGGCTATTTTGATGTTCTCGTTTTCTTTCTTTTCGAATTTTTCAATATTCTCGTGGTAAAGATCGGCCACCGGAAAAGATCGGATTGACAATAGTGTAACAAAAAATCTTTTAATATTAAAAGATTTTTATTGAATTAATTATTCTTACCTAATATACTATATGTATGTATGTCTGATAATCGTGGGAAAAAAAACGAAAAAGAAGCCAGAGAGTGGTTAGATAGTGCAAAAGAAAATAAATTTATTACGTTTGTAGACTTCGACAAATTCAGAGATGTAGTGAAAATCGAGGATTCAGCCCACATTATAATAAAGAGGGCCTTTTCAAGGCCTTTAGGAAGAGAAGTAACCTTGACGACATTTAAGATAAGTCTTAGAGATTTAGTTAAAGAGGTTCGTTGTCGAAATTAAGAATTAATAAAACCATTTTTTAAATCTTAATCCATTTTATTTTTATCTTATTTATACAGTTACAAAAGTACCAAAAGGTTGCAGCACATAATAATATTTTGAGTTATATTGGTTTAGCGCAAGATCCCGATCAAAGTAACTTATACAATTATAGTTTGATTTTAGATTATGCTAAGGATAATTTAAGAGAACATTTAAGTGCCAATGAATTAACATGGGCTCAAAAATTAACACTTGCTGGAGAATTAACAAGTGGATTATATTGTATACATGATTCTGATATGTTTCATGGCAATTTGGTAATATCTTTAAAGATTTATATGCAATCTGTGATTTTTTTTTTTAATAATTAATAATATAATTTATATATTTATAATAATAATAGAGTTCAGAAAATATTGGTATTATCAAGGGTACAATAAAGCTCCACAATTTTGGAAAGTTCAAAAAAATAGAAGAATCCAAAAAAACTTTGGCTCAATATTTTGAATCAATACCCTACTTAGACCCTCAGCATCTAAAAAACCCAAAAGAATTCTCTATGGATCTAAGGGTAGCCGATATATACAGTTTAGGTGTATTACTTTGGGAGATTTCATCACAAAAACCACCATTTGAAAAATATTCTAATGAGCCATGTAAGCTATGTTATAAAATTGTTTATGAAAATCTTCGTGAAGATCCAGCTCCAAGAACTCCAGAATTTTATGAAGATTTATATAAAAGTAATTATTTTTAATTATATCCATTATTTATTTATTAATAATCAAATTAATGATAATAATTCTTAAAAATTTTTAGAATGTTGGCAAACTGAAAGAGATCTGCGTCCTAATGCTGAGGACGTTTTGGAATATCTGGTAGCTGAAGATTTAGCTAATTTCGATTAATTCAATCAATTTTATATATATAATATGTATTTTAAATTAGCCTTTATCAAAAAATATTTTTTGTATAGTTTTATATATATTATATATGGTATATAAGAAAAAATGTTAATACATGTCGTTATGATTATAGTGGTAACTGTGATGGTTATAACAAAAAATAAATAAATCTCCACAGTCAGAGAATCACCAAATATGGAAATCGATTCTGGACAGACAGGGATAGAAAAGGGAAGTTATAATAATTCTTATTGTATACAACATTAGGGTTGTATTTGAGTTGGAGCAAATTCCAAATCTCAGAAGAGTCACTATCAAACTCATTTCTTAATGTCAAACCATTATTGGGGTATGGACAATAGAAACGTGACCAACGTCCCTGAGGACGAATTTGAGTTAATGGCACCCCTATATTGAATTCACTGCAAGGATCAATTTTAGCTTAGAAACCATACCCACTTTGCTTAATAAAATTTTGAGATACAGTATAACCTTGTCATAACGAAGGTATGGTACCAACAACTTAAATTCGTTGTGACGATCGGGATCTACGATTTTTTATTGTACGACAAAAACTTTTTTATTACAAAAATAAACATAAATATAATAATATACCAACATAAATATGATAATGACAAAATGTAAAAATTTTTATTTGAAAAATGATTTAATGCTAGTTTGTGTTTGTTTTTTAATTCTTAATAATCCCAATTTTCTTTTTAATGATTTAAGAGTTTTAGTTTCGTTGTAATCAATCTCAATATCACCTTGTTGAAGAAAATCGTACACTGTTTCAATGGCAGCAATAGCATCACTAATTGAAACTTTAGTCTTAGATGTGGATGTACTACTTTCACCAGTTTCTTCTTCTACTGCTGGAATAAATGAAGCAATAATTTCTTCTTCTGTTATCATTTCATTGTCTTCCACCTCATCATCAATTGAAATATATTCTTCTACTGCTAATGGCGAAGTAAACTGTAATGTATTGATTAAAATATTGATTTCATTATTTTGGTTGTTTGAAATATCTTCTATTATATTTATAGAATTTTCTATTTCTTCATTAGATAGTTCCCCATCTAATAAAGGAATAATCCCAGTTTTTTTCCAACAATTAAAAATAGTTGTTGATGTGACACTATTCCAGGACTTAGCAACATAATCTATTGCTTTTTTGATATCAATTGGTTTTGGATCTATACCAGTTTGTGCTAGATCATAATTTTTAATTTTCTTTTTAAGAAATAATTTTCTATAGTTTGCCTACAATTTATTAATTATTAACATCAATGTAATTTAATATTAACATTGAAACTAAAGAAATTACAAACCTTGAAACTATGAATTATTCCAGCGTCACATGGTTGTAGATGTGCAGTTGTATTTGGAGGAAGGTAATGAATTTTTACATTTGTTAACTCTAAATTATCCATTAAATTATGAGTTGGGGCATTATCAACGAGCAATAATATATTTCTATTTTCAAGATGCATTTTATTATTCAAATTTTTTAGGTAATCATTCCATATTGTAAGCTGCATCCATGCCTTACTGTTCCAATAATAATCAACAGGCAATGTACTTTTATCAACTCCTCTTAATGGTCTTGGGGTCTGATATTTATGAATAAATAAAGGTTTTAATTTTTCTGTTCCAATAGAATTGCATGTTAACAATACTGTTACTCTATCTTTGTTTTGCTTTATGCCTAGAATAGGTCCACTTGATAATCCACGATTTGGTTCCATTTTCCAAAAGAGACCAGTTTCATCACAGTTAAAAATATCTTCCAATCTGTAATCTTTAAGTATATTTCTTAACTCTATTCTCATTTGAGGGATTTGTTCTATGGGGGCACTTTGAGATTCTCCATGCTTGTTATATTCTTGAATTGAGTATCTTTGTTTAAAATTATGAAGCCAACCAGATGATGCTTTAAAGTTATTTACTTCTAATAATTCTGCAAACCTTAAAGCTTTTTCCTGTATAATAGAACCAGTGATTGTTAAATTACATTCAAGAGCCTTTTCAATCCATAATATCAAGGGTCCATCAATCTTAGAAGTAGATAAAGTACTTGTTCTTTTTAATCTTGCTTGATAGGAATTTAGGTCAGTACTAAGCCATCTTTCAGGATCTTTTAATATGTCACTCACTTGACCTTGACTGATACCATATCTTGCTGCTAATTCAACGTTTTTTGGTTCAGGTTTATTTTTTTTTAATAAGCAAATCTCTCTTTTTTGTTGTGCTGTAATAAAGTTTTGTTTTTTAGATGATGATGATTGTTCTTGTGACATTTTTTTAAAAATTCATAACAA